AGTCTTGATACTCTTGACAGTGTCCTTGGACAGAAGATCCTCGGCGTTGTTCAAGAGGCCGACGAGACCCTGAATAGCCTCCTTCTTCAGGATGGGGCTCAGCGCGTCTAGAACTCCCTTGAGGTCAATGTCGGAAAGCTTCTCAATCAAAGGAGATGCCTCATTGAGAAGAGTCTTGATGCTCTTGACGGTATCCTTGGTCAACAAGTCTTCTGCGTTGTTAAGCAGTCCAACAAGTCCTTGAATGGCCTCCTTCTTGAGAATAGGGCTCAAGGCATCAAGAACACCCTTGAGATCGACATCGTTCAACTTGTCGATCAGTGGAGACGCGGCACCGATGAGGTCTTGCGTCTGGTCCACAAACTTGGGTGTCAAGAGAGTCTCGGCGTTCTTCAGCAAGCTCAGGATACCCTTGATAGAATCGTCCTTGAGGAGCGGCTGCAGCGCTTTGAGGACTTCTTCAAGGTTGAGCTTGGTGAGTTGTTCGAGAAGTGGGGCGATGTCCTTGATGATGGGGGAGACTTCACCGAGAAGACCCTGGATCTCGTCGACGGTCTTGGCGGTGAGAAGATCGCCGGCGTTCTTGAGTAGAGTGACAATGCCCTGGATAGACTCCTTCTTGAGAAGTGGGTCCAAAGCTGATAGAATGCCCTCGAGATCGAGGCCGGTGAGCTTCTTGAGAAGAGGAGCAAGCTCGTCGAGAAGAGGCGAGACGTCACCAATGAGGCCCTTGGTCTGCTTGACGAAGTCTGGTGTCAATAGGCTTGCGCCATTGGTGAGAAGACCATCGATGTTCTTGAGGTTGCCGTCGGTGAGAAGCTTGAGAACCTTGGAAACGATACCAGCGATATCGACATCCTTGAGCTGGTCGATAAGGCCCTTGAGGTCGAGTTCACCAACAAGATCCAGCAAAGGGCCTGCTTTCTCAAGCAGACTTCTGATTTGGTTGGGCGCAGGAGGCTTCAATGTTGCTGCGAGATAGACCATAGCATCATGGAATGCGTCAAGGAACTCGGCTGTGAGGAGATTCTTGAGAGCTTTGAGGAGATCTCCCAACTCGCCAAGGGCGTCTGTCAATCCCTTGAGGCCATCGCCGAGGTCACCGAGACCATCAAGCCCTGGAATTGAGACAACGCGACTTGAACCGCCGCTATCTGAATCTGAGTCATCATCTGATCCGGACCCTGAACTAGAGCCGCCAGATTTTGAGCCAGAACCAGAAGTAGTATTTTGGCGCCGTATCAGAACAGGTGCGCGAGGAAATCGATCACTCTTGAGAAGTGTATTCAATTCCTTTAACGCGTCTGTGAGTTCTGATCGCGGTACGAGCGCGAGGTTATGCTTCTCCAAAAGCTCGACCAATTGGCCCGAGAGCTCCGGTGCGGAAACAGTCTTTGGCTCAGGGGCCGCAAGACTAAATGGCGCAAGAGCCGTGAGGAGCACCGTTGAGAACCTCATAGTGTGACTATTGAAGGAGAAGATGAGATAAGGAAACCGAGTGAACTGTCTCACTATCACAGCTTGACTTGTACTGTAGCGAGGAGAAGGGGGGAGAAGAGATAATCAGGCTGCCAAGGGTTCGTTTAAAGGAGGCTCTTTATCTCAGCCAGTCATCACACACGGATTTGCTTTTCGGGATCGTTGCAAGCACTCCACAGCTGTACCCCAGAAATCATGGATGATACCGCGGCAGGGAAATTAGTGCTGGAGGGGTAGCAGTGGCGATCCCTGCTGTTCTGGCCAGGAGGTGGTGAGCACCCCTGCATCTCGCAAACTATCGCGCTTTGGGCACGGGGCTTTGCATCATTATCAGCCTTTTTGCACGGTCTCGTGGACAAGGTTCCTGGTCTAGCTCCTGGGGTTCACCTGGACAGCCCAGACAGCGCAGCTGGGTCCGTTGGTGATGAGCGCCACGGGTCAAAGCGCACTGCGACGGTGAAGACGCTAAACAGCACCGCTAGGACCTGGGTGTACAGGGCCCGATTGGCTACAAGAAAAACCGAGGACGACTTTTGGTGGCAGAGCACGCTATGAATTCTTGGATATTTACGGCCATGGACTCGGACAGTGGGGACGAGGGTTCAGATGATAGCGTCGGGCCGTAACGTTTCAAGTAAGGGACTGCACTGACAGGTCTAGATGAGGAAACCATCTTGGCAAGACAAGAATTGAGGTCAATCAATTGAAGTTGAGTGCGGAAAAAAACAAGCTTACTACGGAATTGAATACGAATAACAATAACACTCTAAACTAATTATCGCGCTGCCTTGAAATCAACACCTCCAACCCTATTGACCACTCCCGCTCGGTGGTAGTAAGTACCAGACCTAACGTATGGATCCAACTTCCAGTAGTTCATCTGTAGCAATTGAATTACCTCATCTCGCCTCTCGTGCGCTTCCTTTCCAGCCTCTGTATCGGGATCTGTGCCAATCCAATCAACAGTCGACCGATTGAACGAGTCAATCAATTCCTGTCGCTCAATCTGTATCTTTATCTTCTTCTCCTCAGACTGCATCCTCTCGTTCTCAGAGGGAACAGGCTCTAAATATTTGTACTCCCAGGGATCTTCACCACCATAAGACTTCTGCAGGTTCTCCTTGGCGATGAATTTGAGAAGGCCCTTGGTACCGCTGGTGAAGTGGACCTTTGATGCGACGACAGGGTCAAGCCAGTGCTTGATGACGGTCCAAACACCTGGAAAGGATTAGCATGTAAATAGAGTTAGAGGTGGCAGAGTGTCAAGCTTACCCCAAAATACGAATGGCGCATTGTGCACAAGCACTACCGAGAGGGTTTCGGGGTAGCGCTTCTCAAGAATATCGACGAGGAACTTGACGACATGAAAGTCCATGTTGCGAAGACCAAAGCCTGTGAGATCGAAGATCAGGCAGACCTTGTCTTGCGGCTCTCTTGCCATGACCCTCAACGTCTCGATATTGTGCAAGACATATTCCTCCATAGACTCGGCAGATTGTTTGTGAGGATCGTGAAGGCGGACTCTGATGACATAGATGGGATAGTTGTCCTTGTCGGTTCCTCGGACGTAGCTCTTGCCAGAGCGATACTGCGCCATGAATGACTCCTCATCAGTAGTGAGTGTCTTCTTCAGACCGACAGCTTCGCCGCCTCCGACAATGGTCTTCTGAATCTGTCGCTCGTCGCGCCAGTTGAGAGCAGAGACAGCCATGTCAACGGCCTTGTTGACATCCCAGTCGCGCGCTCGAAGAAAACGAAGGAGCGTGGTATCGGGATGATCGGCCATGATTGACTCCCAGAGATTCCGTGAGAAATGATCGGAATCTTTGTTCTTGAGGTGTTGGAGGTATTCGTCTGTGTTGTCTGGCGCATCATGGGTGATGTTCTCATTTCCGCATAATCGCAGAATATGGACCCAAGCCTCCTGGAGGCTCTTCTTTTGCTCAAGGGTGAGGTTGCCCCTGGTGCCTGGCTCAGATGAAGAAGACATTGTGATATCGAGTGTGCTGACTGATGAGAATGAGTGATTTAGAAAGCAGGTAAAGAGCTCGTTCATGAAGAACTTACGATGTGATGATCTTTCCAAAAACTCCAATTTTTAAGAAGTCGTCCAGTTATCAGTCTTGCGATGAAACAAGCAAACATGAAACGGATCACGGCGTCGTTGACATCAGCAACGTGAAGATGGGCTTCCTCGGCATGGAGTGGAACTAGATAAGCTAAACTAAACTAGAGGTGCGATGATCAATTTGGGGACAGGTCGGAAGGTGGTCCTGAATTGGGAAACGAGCAAAAGAGCGCTATGACATTCCTAGATTGTGCCCATCCATCTCGTCCTTCGGCAATGCGATGCTCGCAAGCCATGGCATCTGGGGCTAATGCACCCCGCACGAGAACTTAGAAGGCCCCAGACGGGAACAAAAAGACGTCACACGCGAGCTTTACCGAATTGCGGGGTTAGATATTGCGCTATTTGGGGACAGATTCGAGGATCAAGCTGGGAAATTGAGCATCTCGATCGAGTTTAGCTGAGGGGATCGTGGTTTGGGAGCGTGGATTGGTGAACTGGGTTGGACTGGCGTGAATGTGGCTGCTTCTTGACAGTTGAGCTATCCCATCCATCCACCCCACGTATGCATGCACATCGCACAGACTAGATTTGGAATCGACATGTCTGAGAGTCCACGATTCAAGCAAACTATCGCTTCCTTAAAGTTCTGACCGACATCGACCACTTTCACTTCTTCTATCGATCCTAACTTGGCCGACTCTGATCAACACTCTTCGGTCGATTTCCGTTATCTTATCGTGGTGGCTGTAACGAGACTTGCGCGTGTTGGCCACCTTTGAGAATAGCTTACCCTGAAGTCTACAATCCGCCGCCATACAGTACGTGACTTTTCTTGCTTACGGTATTTGGGGTTAATGATAAAGACGGTACTCAATCTGAGCGTATTCGTGCTTATTTAGATGATATTTTCCTTTCGCATCTTCTATTACGAATATTTGGCTTATAATCTGCTTATCGCGTTATACTAGATGCTGTAGTTAACTATCATTATTTGACACAGATTTATAACCAACGAAACTATGGTAAAAGACATCCTGTGAAGCCATTTTCCTAATAACAGTAACATGCTGTAGGGTATTTTTCAAGTATCTAGGACCCTGGCTTGACATAGCAGTATTTACATACCTAGAAGACCACAGTAAAACTCTTATAGATGATCTTTTTTTTTTTCCCTTGCTGTCAGGCTGATAAGGCTATCGAGCTTCTAACTTTACGTACAAAGGCTTAAATAATGAGGCCCCTATAGTAGCTTATAGATAGTATAATTAATCTGATGATACTTCTGATATCTTAGGGAAACCCTTGCCCAAGTTGAGGATATCTTAAGATAGGCCTAAAGAGTTCTACAATATCATACCTCATATCATGCTCCCCAAATCTTATATATACTGGGAGTTTACCTAAAGTCGATACGTTGCAAAAACAGAAGTACATTCCGTAGCTATCTAAATCAAGTCAAACTTAAACCCAGACTCATACTGAGAGAGCTTCTTTCTATCCAAAGGACTTGGTGAATCAGGAAGCATGCGGTGCAACACAGTATGAGGCTTTCCTTCCCAACCGCATAAAGTAAATCGACAAGCCCACCAGGCTGCGCATACACCAAGACTTTTGAATAGGAGCTGACAGGCCTAATATCGAGGTGAGTTCCAGCAGGCAACCAAGCCACTTCATCTGGGCCCATACGTAAAGAGTCGGTGTCGCTTATCGTGACCTCGAGATTTCCATCAGACACATAGAAGCAGTAGTCGACATCTGGGAACTGAATTCCACCAAACAGAACCTGACTGGTTGAAACCTTCGAGGGTAGTCAGGCTATAGTTATTCCCAGATTTAGCCTCGGCGACATATGGACGGACGACTGTTCCGCCGAGAACAGCACTAGGTCCTGCGCAGTTACGGAGAAAGCACGACTTCTGAAAGCCGGGCAGTTGATTTTTTGGACTGCTCCAAGGCTGCGGCTCAACGAGCTTGTGCTCTGCATGGGGATGACGTCGAACTCGGCCATGGCATTTGCGACACCAGAGTTGAGCTTTTCAGTAGCCCTTTCAAGGTCGGCATCTGGCCATATCAGGCCGGTATATGTTCAAATCCAGCGGGAGTGATTATACTGAAGACCTCAGGGAATAGCTTCCTTAAAATGATCAGTGTAATGAAAAAGGACGTAGGTATTTTTACTTACTGGAGCCACACTGGTGTAGTCTCCGGGGCTGAGTATTCTGTACTGGCCATTAAGCCAGACCTTCAACTGGCCACTGATGCAGATAAAGTCATGGTGTGTATGTTTGTGATAATGAGTTGGCACAGGAGCGGGAAAGACTTGGCCGCCGCTTGTCAGAATGGAAGACTTACCACCGGTTTCTCTCCCAGTGAGAAGGAAATGAGCAGCTGAAGGAGTGCCAGAGACGTAGACCTGTCTCCAGACAAGGATTCGAGGATATATGGTTCTTTGGAAGCAGCGGATTTTCCAGCTGCTGATGGCGGGAGTACTATGCGCTCTATAATTAAGTTTGAGATTTACGTCAAATATAAGATGTAAGCTTTCTGGTGCTTTTTGGCTGCTCAAGGCCTTTGAGTTAGTTTATTCATGTTCGCGCTGCAGTGTCGAGGATTTATCGTATACCACTCGTCTACCGTAAGTGAACCGGGGGAAACCAAGCACATGAGATGCATGGCAATGCATTGTAACGGTTAGAGTTGTCGGATGCAGGGATTCCCAGAGTATCTATGCTCAGATTAACTTCATCATCGGTATCGGCGCTTGCTGGAGGAGCGAAAAACGACACCTACAGTCTCCGGGTAATGCTCTCGAAGAAACATGCCCGATAACATCGCCATTAAACGGAGATTTCGAGACCGTTTTGCTCGGTCTCGGCCTTCATATCGGCCTTTCGATTTTGTGCGTGCCGAGCGAAACCACTAGTTGTCCAAGAATGTCATATCAGGACCGTGCTCCGGGACTTATGGCCCGTTATTGCGGGTCACAAACGCCTCTTCCTCAGCGGTAGTCATTTCGGGAACCGAATCTGGCAATAGTCACTGTTTTAGGCTCAACAGTCGGCGTTTGGTGCTCGGCTGCTGCTTACTCATCGTCGGATGTCGGGTAAGGGTGTCATGATATATGTCAAGTTTGGATATATGAAGACGAGGAGCGAAATTTGAAACCGAGAAAGAATGTCAAATAGTACTACATGAGTCACATTTTCTAATGATAACAATACAAGCCAACCAAGCATCTTCGAAAATGGACCAACTCTCTTCAGTTCCCAGTTCAATTGCTGAAAGCATTGAGCCAACCTTGAAGATTTACCTTCCGCTCCTCAACAAGAACTCAACTGCCATCAAATCAACTCCGAGAAAAACGTTCTCTTATGGCCCAAACCCACGGAACAACCTGGATATCTATTATCCTGCCAACAATCCCACTGGGGCTGGGTGCCCTGTCTTCATCTATACATATGGAGGCGGCTTTACTCGGGGAGACAGAGCCTCTGAGGATCATCTGCTCTACAGAAACCTTGGACATTTCTTTGCCGAGAAGTGCGGATTCGTCACTGTCATTCCGGATTACCGCCTTGTTCCAGAGGCGAGATTTCCTTCCGGTGGACAGGATATTGAGATGGTTGTGAAGTGGCTCATAGACAACAATGGCAAGACTGGAGGTCCACAGCCAAGACCGTTGTTCATGATGGGCAACTCTGCTGGTGCCGTTCATCTTTGCACATTCTTGTTGCATCCTTCATTTGCTGAGCTTCGGGGCAAGATCACAAGCGACAGCAACGCTTGCCCCCTGAGGCTTAAAGCTGCTGTCTTTTGCTCGATGCCGACGTCATTCCGCAGTCCCCGCCCTTACCGAGTTCCTGTTCTCGCAACCTACTATGGAGAAACAATGGAGCAGGATTGTCCCCTCGGACTTCTCGAGAATTGTACTAAGAACAAGGATGTCTCAGATCCTGCGCCTGGGGTCAAGTTCCTTCTGCTGTATGGCTCCCTCGACCCCGAAGATGAGATTCTGGGTTGCAACAAGGAGTTTATTGAGCTATGGCGATCGAGTACGGGAAGCTCGGGTGCGGATCTCGAAGTTCAGGTTATGGATGGCCATAATCATATCTCGCCTCCACCAGCTCTCGGTACCAATATTTCGAGAGAAGAGGTCTGGGGTTTTAATGTTGCTGGGTTTTGCAACGCGACTGCTCGAAGCTGAGCAACATTTGAATCTCAATTGATCATGGTATAAAAGGAGGTGGTAGAAGCACCGATGGGTTACGAATTTAGGTGTAATATTCAGATACTGAGGACGTAGCTAATGACTTCCATTCTGCTGAATATGTACATGAGAAATAGATATATACAATTGAACCATTTCCTTGAGCTTCATTCTGCCACTAACGCGTTATCTAACTAGGACATTTCGTTGTATGATCCAGCAACATACATCAAAAATAGCTTACAGAGCGTTGACCAAAGCGTTGAATGCAGCCTTGGGCTGGTAGTTGCTGTCAAACAGGAGAGGGTTGTCACCAGGGCGCCACGAGTCCTTGTCGGAAACACCCCAGACGGTGATGCCGACACACTTGGAAACGGCAAGGCAACCGTTCATGACAGTGAGGAAGTCATTAGCACTGGCACCGGCAATATCAAGCTCAGTGATAGCAATCTCCTTGACGTTTGAGGCAGCAAGGGCCTTGAGAGCATTAGGGACGCCAGAAGCTGGGTTCCAGCCACCAGGAGCAGCAAGATGGCCCTGAGAACCAATGCCATCGATGGGAATGCCAGCAGCCAACCACTTGTTGACGTGAGCGACCATGCCGTTGGTCACCTTAGCGTAGTTAGCAATGTCGAGGTTATAGTCGTTGATGTAGAGCTTGGCGTTGGGATCAGCGGCGCGGGCAGCGCGGAAAGCAATTCCAACAAAGTCCTCACCGAGAACTCGGCTGAAGACACTGTCGCGAAGGTTACCGTCCTCAGCGAAGATCTCGTTGACAACATCCCACTGGAGGATCTTCCCCTTGTAGCGGGTGACCATGGTCGTAACGTGGTTCTGAATGACCGAGGTGAGGGTGGAGCGGTCGTTGATGTTCTGAACCCACTGAGGCAGCTGGGAGTGCCAGAGGAGAGTGTGGCCACGGATGAGCTTGTTGTTCGCAATGGCGAAGTCAACGACCTTATCGGCATTGGTGAAGGTAAAGGAGTTTCGAGAAGCTATTCATCATCAGATCTACATTTTTTCTTTTTGGTGAATGGAACCTTACGCTCAATGGCATCCCACTTCATGCTGTTCTCACACGTCACTTGGCCAAACTGGGCCTTGACAATGTTGATCAAGGCAGTGTTGCTCAGGTGGTAGTGGTCGATCTCAGTACCGAAGTACTGCTTACCCTTGGCCTTGAACTTGGCGTCGAGACCAGTGCCGCCAGTGCCACCAGTAGGTTGAGGAGTGCCACCGCCCTGAGTAGTTGACGAAGGCTGGGGCTCAGATCCTCCAGATCCGGGAACGCACTGATAGTACCAGTCGTTGATCTTCTGACACGTAAGGCCACTTTGGCAAGTTGTAGGACCGGTCCAACCATTGCCACCGCCTATGAGAGGTTTTAGCTATCGAGCATCGACTCTTCTTCTGAGCTGCTGTGACGTACACTGTCCCCAAACGGGAGACTGGGCTAGGGCGGACGCAGGAGCGAGAGCGAGGAGAAGTGAAAGGGTATGCATCTTGACTAATCTCAGTGAGCTGATGCTTCGAAGCAGTAGATACTATCTGAAGATATCGATCGCAACGTCAAAGGGTGACTCCCATCCTTATATATAGCTTTAATATAGCATCCTATATGGCACATTCGCCCCCGGCTCTATATAATCGTGAATCCTGACCAATCCGATCGACTCATCGTGTTTTGCCGGGAAATTGGCATGTCTGGGGTTATAGAGCCTTATGTGCGGAGAACCAAGCTCCGAAGGAGGCCCATTGAGGAAATGTCGGAGCATCACCAAGTTTGTCGTCAACGCCCCAAACAGAAAGCTGCGATGGTGTCCCCCGCAAATATGGGTCGCCGTTTCATTGTGCAGCGGATAATATTGTTCTCAGATCGAGACCTACTACGAATGGGGTAGGGTTTCTTAATGCGTGCTGATATTACGTCCCTTTCTGGGACTAGATGCCAAGCTGGTGGCTGTAACACCAAAACTGTTATTCAGAGGTCTGCGGGGAATGGATCTCGAATTTAGCCGATCACCGAACGTCTTCCCCTATTGTTTGAAGCTTTGCTAAATTTGACGTGTATTGGCAATATTATAGCATGATCCGATTAGCGAGCATGGCAAGGACTCCCGATATTCCGAATCATTTAATCTGCCTATACCTAGCTCAAGCTAGCCACGTACCGGAGTACGGATACACTTACCGAGTAAGTCATTGTAGACGATAGAGTCGATATGTATGCGACGACTGTCTCTCTGAGAATTTATACCTGTCCAGGCGAGCACCTTAGATCGAGGGGAGTTAAGCTTACTTGGTTAACTCTCGCTGTGGATGATCGTAAAGCTGTCCAACGCAGACCAATACACTTTCTTACCGATTCTTCAAGCGTCAACGAAGTGCCATGTCTCTTGCCGAGCCTGCCCAGAGATGGGTTAGGTTGCATCCAACTCCAACGCAGGATGCGGAGGATGCTATTTGTGAACCGATTTGGCAAAATTGGATCAGCCCGTCCGGCTAATCACCGACAACCCTTAGAAATCTGACATCCACGTGGTGGCATGACTGCTGAGATCTAGGCGCTCCTATGGATTGAAGCCAAGAGCTGGACTTTCCATGCGCGCAACTTGGAATGCACTGAGGGTCGCAAAGGAGGGTGTACATGAACGGTGATCTTTCCCTGTCAGCTTTCCTTGAGGCGAAGCTGTGTGCTTGTGATTAGACTGCCTGGTCGATGGTAAGTCACTGAACTTAATGAACTTATTGGTTTATAGACGATGTGACTCAGAGCCTGGATAATGCTATTCATAAGTTAGATGATGTTGTTCATAACTTGGACTGGGAATCATAAAGAGCTACGCTAAGATAATGGAAGTAGATTAGCAACTTGAGAGTAACTATAGTTTTTCTATATAGTCGCAGTTGAAGGGCTCCATGCACCCATGTATATGATCTGATGTTGAAATGCTTACATACTCTTCCGTCTCCGCTTCAGATGTCCACGACTAACTTCCCGCTGACTCAGACATGTACCAGTTCACACTGACCCTAGCGATGGAACCATAAGCATGAACCGTGTAATGCGACTGGTTAGGATCTCTTCTAATTGCTTACAGGCGTGGAACGGTAACATTAGATCTGTTACTACGGTAGCGTGAGACATCACGGTGAATCTGGTGCAAAGCAACGAAAACAAGTTGGTATTTACTAACGAAAAACGAAAGGCTATTCTTGATACATAAGACTATGATCACAGGTACTCCAACCCCGTAGAGATATCTCCCCATCTCGCGCCAGCCATATCCGCAAAGTAATTCGACTTGGGACTCCACAAACCCGTGCCGCCCTTGGGGAACACAGAGCTAGCAGTCTTGAGATATGTCGATGACAGGCTCATCATTGGCTTCACTGGCATACCACTTGAGGAAGAAAGACGTGGGACCACAACGCTAGTCTTGCTCTGTGTCATCTTCTTCAGAATGCGCACAAACAGTCTCGCGCTGACATCGGCACCAAGTGTCCACGATGCATTCTCGTAGCCGAACATGAAAAGCAGGTTTGGTACATCCTGGAGCATCACGGTCTTCCATGCGAACTTGTCGGCAACGTTGAAGGGAACGTCGTCGACGCTGAACTTGATACCTCCACCGAAACGAACCTTCAGACCAGTTGCTGTGACGATGAGGTCGGGATGTAATGAAGCTCCAGACTCAAGCTCAATACTCTTCTCGGTGATAGTCTTGATCTTATCCGTCACGACATTTGCTTTACCCGAGCGAATAGCCGCGAAGAAATCACCGTCCTGACTGGCGCAGAATCGTTGCTCCCAGGGGTTATATCGAGGCTTGAAGTGAGGGTCCCAGCTGACATCGGGAGGAAGATTCTTGATGGTGACATACTTGATGAGCTTCTTGGCCAGACCTGGGCACGACTTGCAAAACACGTTGGTAAGATAGCTTCGGACCAGCCAGAGGAGTCTGTTGAGGAATAGAGCGATGCTGGCGGGGAAAACAGTCAAGAGCAGACGTGTGAAGAAGCTGCTTGATGGGAGAGGGAAGATGTAGCCTGGACTTCTCTGCAACATGGTCACACGCTTGGCTTTGTCGGACATGGATGGAAGGATCGTGACGGCTGTAGCTCCACTGCCAATGATGACGACCTCCTTGTTGGTGTAATCGTAGTCCTCGGGCCAGAATTGAGGGTGGATGACCTTGCCCTTGAACTTCTCAATTCCAGGAATCACAGTCTGAAGAGGGGTCTGGTAATCATAGTAGCCAGTACCGAGGAGTAGAAATCGGCTGCGGAAGGTAACAGGCTTCTCATCACCAGGTCGCGTAACCTGAAGCTGCCATCGCCTCTCCTTAGAAGACCAGTTGGCTTCTGAAACGGAGTGCTTGTAGCAAATATGGTGGTCGATACCAGTCGAGCGTGCCGACTCGATCATGTAGTCCTTGATCTTGTCACCTGGTGCTAGCGACTGGTCATGCTTCCAGGGACTCCATGGGAAGCCAAAGGTGAAGATATCAGAGTCGGATCGAATGCCGGGATACTTGAAGAGATCCCATGTACCGCCGATGGAGTCGCGGCCTTCGAGGATGGCGTAGGTCAAGTCTGAGGGACCTTCTGTTTGGAGACGGTAGGCGGCGTTGATGCCGGAGATGCCAGCGCCGATGATGATAACATCAAAGGTGTTGGGTTCTTCTGATTGTGGTGCCATGTTGATGAGTGTTGTCTGAGTAGTTTGTGTTGTAGATGATGCTGTCCACAGTGGACGTTGAAGACCTATTTTGTACAAAGACGACAATGAAGGAGTCTGAGTGATTGGCACTCCGTTGGATCAATAAACAGTCCGCGGGCAGACGAAAGATAGCAAGCCTCGGTACTTTAGCAATAGCAATCAGGGTCTCGCGTCACAGCTCCTCGAATGAGTAGCTAAGTTCTGGTTAAGCTTCCGAGTCCGACAGGCGACAATATGAACCCATCCTTCCGCCCCCGCGGGACCCGTCTCCGATAAAGACACAAATCTTTCATGACAACTAACTAGAGGAATAACGTCATGCTTGGGCTTTGACTGGGGGGCGAGCCAAAGTGTTGATCGCAAGCTAAACTCCATACAGAAATTTCGCGTTGAGGGTTCTCAAGATTGTGGGGTAGCCTCGGCCTGCCCCCCAGTGATCGTCTTCATGGGGGGGAGACGCCAAAACTACTACCGAGAGAATCACGCGACGGACCAGACAAGACTTGTCAAATCTGCAGAGCTGATCATCTTGGCTCCGAAGAGGGGTAGATCACTGAAACAAATGACGAAATGTTTCGAGGTTCATTAGGAATTTACATGTGAAATTTGTTGAGCTATGTAGATCTTGTAGAAACTTCGATATCATTCCGCCTCTGGCCCGCGCCCTCCATCACGAAAAAGAGATTATGCATAGCTTCGTAGATTCAACCCCGCACGATGATTCAAGAAGCGCCTCGCATGCTCAGCTGCCTTCTCTGCCTCGGCTGCAAAGTCAATCCTGTCGCCGAGCAGGATAATGTCATGAGGGCAACCTTCCGAGATGTCCAGGTACATTGGCCAGCCATTCTTCTTGTAGCGTGCGACAAAGTTGGTGATGTCGTCGCATAGAACTTCGCCGCCGCCGGCGTTGACGTAGACTGGGAAAGGCTTCTCAATCTGGAAGGGATGGCGTAGAGGGGACAGGTATGGACTGGCTGGGTCAATTGCGCCAAAGCCAGAGACTGTCGTTGCGCCCCAGCGCGCAAAGTGCATGTTGAGATAATCCGTCTTGTAGTTGGGTGACTGAGTCGCATCTTGTTCCAAAGCGCCAGCGACATCCGTCCAAGGTGACCAGAGAGCCATTGCGCGTGGGAATGGGACCTCGTCAATCTGACCGTACTCATGAATGTAGCGGACCAAGGCGAGAGCCAAGTTCGCGCCAGCTGAGTCGCCTGAGAAGATGATCTGGTCGGCAGGAATGCCTCGTGTCTTGATGAGATGAAGATATGCTGTAAGTGCATCCTGAAGAGGAGCGGGAAACTGCCCATTCTTGCTGCTAGACAGTCGGTAGTTGGGCGAGCAGACATGCGTAGCACCCATATGCTTAATGAGAGTCTTGGCTGTGAAGCCAGTATCTTCATCACGACCATTGCCAATCACAAAACCGCCGCCATGAAAGTGCAAGACGACCACCATCCCAGGGTGAACGATGCCAGCAGGCGGTGGTCGTGCTGGCGTCCATGTCATGCCCAATTGCGCAGGCTGAACCGTGTAATCCGTGCAAATTCCTCTGTATAATTTTGGCGATCGTGGAGCGACGACTTCGAACCGGTTCTTCTCTTTGCCTTGGTCAAACCTCATTTTGTCGCCTGATTTGGTGAGAGACCAGTAGAGCAGCAAGAGCCGGACAACGCGGACACGGACAGCTTGGTTCAGCGTCCATTTTCTGTTGGGACGAAACCATGGGACGAGACAGAGAGAAATGTCGAATAAAAAGCGCGAAAGAAGCCATGGTGTGATGATAAATGCGTAGGTATAGCCAAATGCTGTTTTGAGTGTGCTTAATACTGCCATGGTGGATGAATCGGTCGTGTAAGTTGCTGAGACTGTTGGTGATTATTAACGTGGAGGAAAAGCGGTAGAGCGACGCCGCGGGACCCGGGGTCTTTAAGTAATTCACCTGCCTCGGCCACCGAACTTGCAGTATATTCCTGGTCAACAAGAGAGTTTCAATTGACAGTTTACTGATCAATGCCATTTTTTATTGCATGCAATTAGTATTTGTGGTGTGGTGCTGCGTCGTTTTCACTGTTCAAAATGCTGGCATGGTGCCTGAATGAGTTCTGTTCAGTAGGAGTATGACGGTCGCATTTACTTGTGAGTGAGTCTATAAAAGTACAGAACAGCTTTTAAGCTCGTCCTAAGTTGACGGGTATGGTCAAACTACCTATGACCCTTCTAGATACAGTCGCCACCCATTTTTTTTGTTCTTAATTGCCAGCTGTCTTGCCAACAGCATCGCGAACAAGCTCTTGCAACCAAGTTGGCCATCCTCTAATGCCAGAAATGACATCCACGGACTTGGGAACAATTAATTGACCACCTCGTCGGCTCTTAATCTGAGCGACAACCTCCTTGGCGATATCATCAGCAGTCAAGAGACGAACACCGCCACGCTCCAAGCGATCCACGAAGCCCTCGACAAGAGGTGTTCGGACAAAGTTGGGATGAACCACTGTTGTCAAGACATTGGGAGCCTTGTAGAAATGCTTGATCTCACTGGCTAGCGACTCGTGGAAAGCTAGTGCGCCAGCCTTTGTAGCAGAGTAGTCGGCTCCTGTGGCGAGGGCGACAAAGGATGCGATACTGGCGACAGTGATGACATGGCCCTTGTTCAACTGGATCATGCGCGGGAGAAATTGTTGAGTGGTGTACCACAAAGCCATGAGGTTAACACCCATGATCTTGCGCAGGAATGACTCTGGCATCTTAAGAATGGGCATGGGGGAAGTGATACCAGCGTTGTTGATGAGGATTGATGGGTGGCCGAGTTCTTTGCGCACTGCGTCGGCAGCTTCAGCGACAGACTCGGTTGTAGTAACATCGCATCGATAAAAATGAACGCGCGAGTTTGTCTGAAGTTGCTTTGGCAAATCTTGAACATCGAAGACAGCGACACGGATTCCCATGGCGGAAAGTTTCTCAACAATGCTCAGGCCAATGCCGCTGGAGCCACCAGTTACAACAGCGATCTCATTCTTCCAGTCCCAACCAGAAGCAGCTGTCATTCGCCATGAATTATGAGCCATGGTATTGAGGAACCGGTTGATGGTTCGAACGATGCCCAAGCTGAGCCATACGTATAGAACCTTCTTGACAATCGTGAGCTCCAGGGTATGTGAAGCATGCTCTGGGAGCTTGGCGGCAATTGAGGCGAGGGCATTGCTCACGGCGTCGGGTGCAAAAGTTGCAGCGGCGAGCAATGAACCGGAGATAAGTGGCGATAGAAGGAAGTTGCTCGCATTAGAAGCGTACGCAATAACGGGAGAGTAGAGCAGAGAAGACATGATGATTTGCACAGGGAAGAATGATGATTGAGTTGGGTCTGTGAGTCTGAGCCGAATTACTCGATTGCACATGCAAGCAAAGCTGCCACTAAATACATCTTATACAAACTAATTAAGCTCCAACGTCTTTCTCTAGCTCCATCGTCAATATCACGAGTTGGCAAAGAATGAAGCCGATCACGATGCTGTTGAAGCCGAGGCTAGATTCGCTCGACCAACGACAACTCTTGCAATCGCAAGCTTAACCAGAACAAGCCACAACGACGATCTTTTCCCTTCTCTCCACTGATTCCACTCTCTCAACGGCACTTGACCTCTGTCGCGTCCCCCTTCGCCCCTGTCATCAACCACTAAACATGGACCTTAAACCCTGTTTCCAGCTCGTTAGCCCAGGTCTCTTGCGGGGTCTACCTCTCTGAACCGAGACACCAATACGTCCGTGCCATGACAAGAAACACGCTGCCCGCCCTGAGTCTGCGTTGGCTATCTTCTTGTCTCCATTCTTCCCGCGGGCTCCGTAATTTCGTAATCGCAATTTGTTGCCCTTCCCCAGACTCTCCATCCCGTACAATCAGCTCACCCACGTTTGCGTGCTCTATCAGGATCTACTTCCTATCTTAGCCAAAGATGGTATTCCCAGGTCGCTTTAGCTCAGGTTGTCTGCGGTGTCGCCAGCGAAAGGTCAAGGTGAGTAATGCTTTCGTTCTGATTGAGCGATATCTGTTCTGTTCTAATCTGTTATCTCTGCGCAGTGCGACGAGGGGAAGCCGACGTGTCGACGATGCTACAACTACGGGAAGCCATGCCTTGGATATACCGACGAGTTTCATTTTAGGCACTCTGCGCCAAAGGGGAGATCGCAAAGTACTTCTTCCAGCACCTCGCGCGCGTCAAAGGCGCCAAGTATAGCCAGTGCCAGCACAGCGAGTCCCCCGCAAGATGAGAAACCGCCCGAAAAGGAGCCTCCGAAGCCCAAAACACGGCCGTTGGAGGCGCCCATTCGACGGAGATCTGTAGCCATGGTTCGACACCCAACCCAATCATACGATAACATGTCGCTCTGCTATTTCGTGCGTCGCTTTGTGTCGCCCGATGACGACGATGGATTTCCCGGCCATTTCAGCTTCCTACCGAGCTTGTTCGATCACTACAAGGATGGCCTCGTCGAAACAGCGACATTGAGCGTTGCCCAATTGGCTGCGTACAACCATTTGGGCAATGAAGAACTTCGGACACGGTCTTTGAGAAATTATGGACGTGTTATCAAGGGCTTGCAGCAGACTATCCAGTCTGACGACCAGGCGATGGACGACAAAGTCATCGCTACCATTCTGCTTCTGTGCACGTACAAGGTAAGTCTCACGGGACATCAATTACTTCACTTCTGACTCGATGATAGGACTTTAGTGGTGAAGGATTAGGTGATCCGAATGAGCATGCTTCAGGGCTATTTTACCTGCTGGAGAAACGAGGGCCAAGTCAGATTGGCACACGAAGAGGAGCCGAACTCTTCTTGCTTGCTCTGCTGCGACTGGTAAGTCACGCGACAAGACAATCACATGCCATGGCACTGACTCAAATGATAGCAAATCTATTCATTCTTGCATGGCGATGATGCATACACCGACCCCGGCGCCATCGCCACCGTCATCG